CCGGCTTGCTCATTCCCTGGTGGGGTGATCCTGAGATCTGCGACCTGGTATTGACACGCAGCCAAATCCATCTCCACCATTAGGAGCTCTGGTGAAAACCGGTTAATGCTTAGACCCCGCACCTCAGATGAGCCTGCGTGATTTCCCAGGGTGACCTTGCCTGTGTACCTATCCTGCTGGTTTAAGGTAAGCCTTACACTGCTATAGCAACTGGTCTCTCAACCTGACCCAGACCGTGACAACCTCTTTTAGTACAAGAGAGGATTTTGCTCACTTTAGAAACCGCAGCTTGGCATTGCATGCCATTATTAAGCTTGTGATCTACCAGAACTCCCAGATCCTTCTCCACCATTGATTCCCCCAGTTGTACTCCACCTAGTATGTATGATGCATGCATATTCTTAGCCCCTAAGTGCATAACCTTACAATTATCAACATTAAACCTCATTTGCCACATAGTTGGCCAATTAAACAGTGCATTGAGGTCGGCTTTAGTTGAAGACATCCTGTAAGGACGTTATTCCAGTGCACAGCTTGGTGGCGTCTGCAAAGACTGAAATGGGATTTTTAATCTCAGACCCTATATCGTTTAGAAATATATTAAAAAGTAAGGGTTCCAACACTGAACCCTGGGGTACACCACTGATGACCCCAGACCATTCAGAGTATGAATCATTAACCACTACTCTTTGAATACGATCTTTTAGCCAGTTTTGTATCCATTTACATATGGATTTTTCCAAGCCTGTAGATGTAGCTGTGTGGGGAACTTTATCAAATGCTTTTGCAAAATCCAAGTATACCACGTCCACCGCCACCCCTCTGTCCAAGGTTTTGCTCACCCCCTCATAAAAAGAAATCAGATTTGTTTGACAACTTCTGTCTTTCATGAATCCATGCTGTCAGTTGCTTAAAATATTTTTTCCAGCAAGAACTCATCTATGTGGTCTTTTATTAAACTCTCCAGTGTCTTCCCAACTATAGAAGTTAAACTAACAGGTCTATAATTACTTGGTAAAGATTTTGGCACCAGATTGGCCTTACGCCAATCCAGTGGTACTATGCCAGTCATTAAAGAGTCCCTAAAAATTAGAAACAATGGCTTTGAAATGACAGAGCTCAATTCTTTAACCACCTTCCGCCCGCCCTATAGTCCAATGACGGGCGCAAGGTGGTTCTCTCTTCCTGATAGGACGTCATATGACATCCTGCCATTCTCACTGCGCATGCACGGCACAGGGAGTGCGCAGCGCGGCGATCGCCGGTGTGCTGTGTCCCTAGGACACAGCGGATCACGGAAGGACCCGAAGATGTCAGATTGGTCGTGATCAGCTGTGTCCAATCACAGCTGATCACATGTAAACACGGAAATGCCGGTTTTCGGCATTTCTCTCCTCTCGAGCTGTCACGCTGGCAGCTCGAGAGGAGAGGAGAGCTGGTAATCGGCTTTCCGTGGAGGGGACATGTACCCTGATCATTAGCCCCCTCAGTGCCACGTGCCAGTGCCCATCTGAGCCGCCTATCAGTGCCACCTATCAGTGCCGCCTATCGGTGCCACCTATCAGTGCCGCCTATCGGTGCCGCCTATCGGTGCCGCCTATCGGTGCCGCCTATCGGTGCCGCCTATCGGTGCCGCCTATCGGTGCCGCCTATCGGTGCCGCCTATCGATGCCGCCTATCGATGCCGCCTATCGATGCCATATATCAGTGCCATATATCAGTGTCATGTATCAGTGCTGCCTTTCAGTGCCCATCAGTGATGCCTGTCAATGCCTATCAGTGCAACGTATCAGTGCAGCCTATAAGTGCCCATCACTGCAGCCTCATTAGCATATATCAGTGAAGGAGAAAATCACTTATTTACAAAATTGTATAACAAAAACTAAGAACTTTTTTTTTTTTTTTTCAAACTTTTCAGTGGTTTTTGGTTTGTTTAAGAAAAAATAAAAATCCCAGAGGTGATTAAATACCACCAAAAGAAAAGCTCTATCTGTCTCAAAAAAATGATAAAAATTTCATATGGGTACAGTGTTGCATGACCGCACAATTGTCATTCAAAGTGTGACAGCGCTGAAAGCTGGAAATTGGCCTGGGCAGGAAGGGGGTATAACTGCCCTGTAGGCTAGTGGTTAAGGACCCGTGGGTATATGCTATCCAGTCCAGGTGCTTTATTCACCTTTACACTGTCTAAATATTTTTGGATCATGTCAATTTTGAGCCAATGTATATCATCTGCAGCTGTGTCAATACCATGCCCATTATGGACAAGAGCTCCACCATGCTCCTTTGTATACACAGAGCTGAAGAATGTATTAAATAAATTTGCCTTCTCTTTGTCCCCAGTCACCCACTCTAGATTATTTTGTAAAGGGCCTACATGCTCAGACCGAACCTTGTTACTATTAATATACGGTATTTGAAGAATTTTTTGGGGTTGGTCCTGCTATCTTTTGCAATCTGTCGTGCGTTTTCAATTTTTGCGTCCTTTATTTCCTTTTTGCATTTTCTGTTATATTCTTTGTAATGTTTAAACGATGATCGTGTTCCTTCATTTTTATATCAAATAAAAGCTCTTTTCTTATCTATAGCCTTTTTAACTTTGGCCATAAGCCACATAGGTTTGATTTTTAGCCTTTTAAACTTGTTGCCCATGGGAATATATTTTGCAGTGTGTTCATATACAGTCTTTTTGAAGAACTCCCATTTCTGTGTTGTATTCATTGATGCCAATATTCCCTCCCAGTCTAAGTCTTGGAGAGCAGCTCTCAGCCTTGGAAAATTAGCTCTCTTGAAATTGAGCGTATGTGCTTGTTGTTTACAGTTAACAATAAATAAAATCATGTTAAGGTCACTGCTACCCAGATGTCCTTTTTATATGGACATTCGTAATAAGCTCTGTATGGTTTGAGATTACCAGGTCCAGCAGAGCATTATTCCTAGTAGGGGCCTCTATGAACTGTACCATAAAATTGTCCTGTAGTAGGTTTAAAAAATTTTTGTCTTTTAACTGTTCCTGCAGTACCATTACTAGAGTCAATTTCCGGGTAGTTAAAATCCCCCATTATCACTGTCCCATCCCTTTCGATCTGAAAGAAATTAATTAATCAAAATTATGATTCGGCAATTATATTGATGGCAAGCTTGCAAAATATTTGGTTTTTATGATTAATCATAATTAATATTAAAATGTGTGAATTGTCGCCTTAAACCGATTTATATTTAATTCTTCAGTAAAATAGCTGAGACAGAAAGATATGACTTAGTTAAGCTAAGATCAGCTAACCAGCTGAAGACTATATTTAGGTGTTGCTGGTCAGAAGTCTCTTGTAAGTGTCAAAGGTATTAGAAGTGACTTATTATTACATTATGTATTTTAATAGTAGCTGTGTGTATTTAGTATATGTTTCTAACATTGATACATCTATAGATTAGTGATTATACATTGATATGTTGTAAAGATACATTCTAAAGTTATATTATCTAAAGTTATATTAATCATATGAATAGCTGAGGTTGCATCATCTGCTTACAGTATCATGTATATCAGCATCTGTACCTGTCCATCAAACATCACATATATAGCGTCCACTCTCTTCTATGAAATTGCTTTGCTAAGCAGTAATGATTTCCATAGAAGGTCTAAAGAATCTAAAGCTATGACGTAAATTTGCCTCATAAAAGACCATGAGACAACGGACAGAGGGACACACTCTTTCAGCTTCTGTATGTGTGTATGCAACAGGTGCATGCTGCAATACAAGATTGTCACTTCTGTCTACTTCCGGCTTCTTCACAAAGTCTCGAAGGACAAGGAGAGCATGAAGGACAGAACAGCACATGTCCGGACATCTTTGACAAAAACATGGTGACTTTTTCTTTAAACTTCTGCTTGATATTTCTACAGTAGTTTTATCTACATGGAACTGTTCATGATACGCTTTACATTGTTGTTTTAAGCCATTGTGTGATAAAAAATAAAGTGTGATTTTATTCTATTTCAACGGCTTTCATTCATAATCGCCTCAAGACACTAAAGAAGTATTGTGTCTAAAATCCAACACGATCTGTGCAAGGAGCTGAATTTCTACCTCCTCATTAACACTGGGAGACTTATAACAAACTCCAATGATTACCTTTGTAGTACGCACCACCATGTGCAGTTCCACCCATAATACTTCAGCCTCATCACGCTCTCCATCAACTAGGTCCTTTTTCACACTTGCTCTGAGATCACTTCTCACATAGACAGACACCACCACCTTTCCTATTGCTTTGTCTCTCTGAAAGAGAATATAGCCAGGATTATTAATGGCTCAGTCATGCGAAGAATGAAGCCAAGATTCAGCAATACCAATTTAATCATAGTTCCCTTCATGCAACAAAACTTCCAACTCTCCTATTTTGCTTGGCAGACTTCTGGCATTGGTGAAAAAACACTTTAATTCATTGACACCTTGTTCACACGTATTTTGCATATTTTTTATTTTCATACAAATGGTACCAATTCCACTGGTTGTTTATAACATGGGAACCTTCTTATCATCTGCCATAGCTTTCCCCCCCATCTTTCCTCATTCCACCCTCCAATAAGTACTGACCCTTGTCTGATCTGTCTACCCCCGTTATAATCTTATTCTCCCTCCCCCCCCTCGATCCTAGTTTAAATACTCCTCCAGCCTTCCCATAAACCTCTTCCCCAGCACAGCAGACCCCCTTCCATTTAGGTGCAGACTATCTTTAGCATATAGGTTGCACCCCAATGAAATGTCAGCCCAGTGCTCTAGAAACCCAAATCCTTCCCTCTTACACCAGGTCTTCAGCCATGCATTGAGTTCTCTAATCTCCCACTGTCTTTTCTGAGTTGCTTATGGCACAGGTAATATTTCAGAGAATATCACCTTGGAGGTCATTCCCTTGCAATTCAACTATATTGCCAAACGTATTGAGACACCCCTACAAATCATTGGATTCAGGTGTTCCAATCACCTCCATGGCCACACCTAGGCATGCAGACTGCTTCTACAAACATTTGTGTAAGAATGGGTCACTCTCATGAGCTCTGTGAATTCAAGCGTGGAACTGTGATAGGTTGCTACCTGTGCAGTAAGTCCATCCGTGAAATATCCTTGCTGCTAAATATTCCACGGTCAACTGTTATTGGTATTGTGTCAAAGTGGAAGCAACTGCCAACAGCAACTCAGCCATGAAGTGGTAGGCCATGTAATATGGCAAAGCAGGGTCAGCGCATGCTGAAGCGCACAGTGCGTAGAGGTCGCCAGCTGTCTACAGAGTCAGTAGCTAAAGACCACCAAACTTCATGTGGACTTCAGATTAGCACAACAGTGCGTAGAGCTTCATGGAATGGTTTTCCATGGCCGAACAGCTGCACCCAAGAGTCGGAGCACCAAGTGCAATGCAAAGAATTGGATGCAGTGATGTAAAGAACACCGCCACTGGACTCTAGAGCAGTGGAGACGTGTTCTATGGAGTGATGAGTCATGCTTCTCTGTCTGGCAATCTGATGGATCTGTCTGGGTTTTGCGGGTTCCCAGGAGAACGGTACTTGACTGCATTGTGCCAAATGTAAAGTTTGGTGGAGGGGGAATTATGGTGTTGGGTTGTTTTTCAGGGGTTGGGCTTGGCCCCTTAGTTCCAATGAAGGGAAAACAGTTAAAGCGTCAACATACCAAGAAAATTTGGACAATTTCATGCTCCCAACTTTTTGGGAACAGTTTGGCTATTGCCCCTTCCAGTTCCAACATGACTGCACACCAGTGCACAAAGCAAGGTTCATAAGGATTAAAAATAGTTGATTAATCACTTGCCCTCTAGAGGATTTACCCCCCCCCCCTTAATGACCAGGCCTCTTTTTGCTACTCGGCGCTGCACTAATTCAACTGATAATTGTGCTGTCATGCAACGCTGTACCTAAACGAAATTTACGTCCTTTTTTCTTTCTTTCGGGGGCATCCGACCCCAGCCCTTCCCACCAACTCATGACTGAAGGACCAGCCGATCTCACACCATGCTATGACTTGCGTACCAATGCCACACTCAGCTGCTCCCTGCACAAAGAGTTTCCAGCTCGCGGGGACCACAATTTATGTGCTAGCAGCCTGAGAGCGATTGTTACTGGGTCAGGTTAATTACGAAATTAACCCTTCACACTGCCACCACCACCTTTTTACAGAGGAGGAAGCTCACAAATCTTAGCGGTAACACTATATTAGTATACGCGTCTGTAATACACACTGTCACCACAAACGGATATATTCAGAGGATTATTACATACAGTAGCACTCTTCAAGAGACAGGGATTCTTTAGTTTTCATTAAAAGCTTTAGAGACAGTTTAAACACTTTTCAGAAAATAGGATTTATTACTAAAAAGGCCAAATAAGTGCAATTAAAATGTTTACAGAAAAAAAAATGTAACAAACATATAAAGAGAACAATAAAACCGAGAAATAAAAGAGGAGTTCAGAAGGCAGAATACTTGCAAAAGTCCTTGGTTTGAGCAGAGTCCAAGTGTCCAAACAAAAGGATTGCCTTGGCTCTCAAGTCTCTTAGATGTTTTTTTTTTTTTTTTTTTTTAATTTAAATATTTATTAGTTTTTCATATTATTACAAAAATTCCATAAGAAGAGACACAATACATATAAATAATCAATACATTTCTGCCTTGCCCCTTCTAATAACTCTTTTCTTTCCCTCCCCTCCCAACCCATACCCACCCCTCTTCCCCCTCCCTCCCCTCTGCAAGTTCTCCAATCTCTCAAGGCCCAATGACTTTATATATCTTCCTAGTTTATAGTTTTCTATATTTCTCTTTCAATCCTGATTTTTCCCATTTTTCCCATCTCGTATAGTATATTCCCAACCTATCTTCCTGCATATAGTAAGATTTTTCCATTCTATTAATCCAGTCTTCCTCCTTCGGCACCTCTATTTTCTGCCAGAACTTGGGTATCAACCCAAGCATTTAAATAGTACCATACGCCTGATTCTTTATATTTATTTACTGTTGTCTCAACATTATGTAGGAGACACATCATTGGGTCTAACCTATGTCTTTTCCAGTTATTATTTCTATTAATTTAACTATTGTCTTCCAGAAAGCTTGAATTTTCGGACATTGCCACCATATGTGAAACACCGTGCCCATCTCCCCACATCCTCTACAACACATTTTTGATTTCTCCCCACTCATCCTTGTGCTCAATACTCAGTGTAATGTGCCATCGTGTCAAACACTTATAGTTAATCTCCACGTCTCTCATACTAACATTCTCGTGTATCAATCTAAATATCTTGTTCTGTTGATCCTCGTCTAACACCACCCCCATATCTCTTTCCCATTTCGTTATAAAAATTAACTTTGTGTCTGTGTCTAATTCTGTGAGTATTCTATACTCATCAGAGCGGGGTTTTGGAAGTGTTCCCTTCCGATAAAACAATTTAAAACCTGGTGATGATTTCCACTCTCATCTAAATTTCCAGTAAAAAATGGTCTACATCCCTCTTTTAAAATTCTTTAAATAGATCTCAATTCCCTCCTCTTAAACCATTAACATCTCCTCTCAGTTGGATATACTTATCTTCCCTTTTAAAACCATCTTCCCTTCTCCCTGATATCTCACAAATATCTAACATTCATCCTTTCCTGGTGGGAAATACACCAGTATTTACATTACAAGAGGCATTAAGTATAGTAGTGAATTCCCATTTCATACGGTTGTCGTATAATTTTATACCCCATAACCACCTTAAAAAAACCAATTTAACGTGTAAATAATTGTGGTGCTTTTTGTTTATATTCTTCTAAAATTGTGCTGGGAGAACCCATAGATCATCTTACTCAAAATAGTTCCCACTCAGTTCAATTTTCCATTTCTAACCCAACTCTTACTCTACTCTCTTACTCTTCTTCCCCCTTTTTGTTGGTTAAATGTTCCAACAAAAGAATAATCATAAATTCTTGCTAAAATTACTACTAAATACTTACTAAAACTGCTTAATAGTATCCTCTTAATGACAATCAGTAGTCTCCCATTCTCTTCCCCTGTTCATCCATTCTTAGTCCCCCCATTCATTTTATTCCCCATTCTCTTTCCCCAATCCCCTTTCCCTCTTCCCATACCTCTCCCTCACCCATTCCAATCTTTCCCTTCCCTTTTATTATTCTTTCCCTACCTTCCCCTCCCCCCCCCCTTTCTCTTAAGTCCTACTCAATGTTCGTATGATATTCCTTGTTTTTTTATTCCTTCACAAATATATATCTGTGTTAACATTTTTTTTTATTATCTTAAAACAAAGCCTCTGAGGAGTTTGGACTGGAACCATTTTGGAATTCTATACAGTATTTTCGGGTATCGCTCGCGATTCACCATTTTAAATGAGGTTTAGTTCGTCATATCTATGATTGGTTCCTTACTCTTCCTAATATTTTTAATTCTTCCTTTGTCGTCATTTATCAAAAGTAAATATAGTTTAATCTATACAGTTGTGTTTACTATGAGAGAGCAAGTATTTATTCCTATGTATTTTAAGTCTTTTTCTCTCCATATAAAGGGATTTCTTTTTGTAGCTTTTCCTTTTCACTCTTTGATATGTTGATTGTTTCAAGATCTTGAAGGAGTAATGGGGGAACTATCAAATTTAAAAATTAACCCAACAAAAACAGAGATCTTAACATCAACATAATCAAAGAGTGAAAAGGAAAAGCTAACAAAAAGAGCTTCCTTTTATATGGATAAAAAGACTCTTTGATTAGCCTAGATGTTCAGAGATCTATGCTCTGCTCACATAAAAACAAACTGTATAGAGTTAATAAAAATCTATACAGTTGTTTATATGAGAAGGCACAGTTTATATTGGGCGAGAGTTCTTAAAGTTTTTTTTTTCCATCTATATAAAGTGGGAAGGTTATTCGGGGGGTTTACATAAAGCTTTTCTTTGTCAATTCTTTTCGTTAATGTGATGTCAAGATCTTGTGTGTTATCATATATCTTTTTTAATCTTTAATTTGATATACGCTCCACTACTTCCTTTATCAGTGGAAGATCTTCATTCCAATCTTATGGTAAAATTTATTCAGGGGGGTATAATTTTACAGTTGATCAAGCCCTGTATTTTGTTTTGTTCTTCATGCACTTATTGTTACAGCTTAAACGTACATTTGTCCACTTCTATTTTTGAGGTCTGGCTACAAGTTGATTTTGTACGTTTACCGCTAGACCTATTTTTCATTTATAGTCTTGGTGGATTCATTGATTTTAGCACAAGGCATAGAGTTAGATTCTTTTACGTGGAGGATGACAAGCGTACATATGCGGTAATTAGGGGATTTTTGAACAGGGGAGCAAGGTGCTTTTTTTTATGCTGTGTTATGTTATTCATTTCTTTACAGTCCCAATGAGACATTCTGCTTCTTTTTAGAAAGCCACATTAATTTTTAACTATTGAGACTAGTAGAAAAGCTTAGAGCTCCCTTATATAGTTTAGGACTCCCTTTCAGAGGAACATTGTTTTTTGTATCTCGAGCGGGTATTCGAGACAATTTAAAGTAATAAACTTTGTTTCCCAAATATTTCCATCCCATAAAGGACCTCCAGTCCCCCCCCACCCTCTCCCAAGGATGACGCATTTATTTTCTCGAGTACCCGGTTTATTCCTTTCGTCTGACAATCGTTCTTTTTTGGGTTTCTTTACATTTTTTTTCTATTTTCTGAAGAAAAGGAAACTTGTTTGAAAAGGTTTCAGCCGCCCTTAGCACTTTTCTCCGCTAATTTGTTCTTTTCTCTCCCCTCGGCCGCACCTCATGCGATGTCCCTCTTATGCCCTTACATTTTTGACATACTCCAATGATTTCCTTGATCCCATTCAGGCATTAGATCTTTCAGCCTATTTGCTAGGACCTTTGCGTACAACATTTGTATCGGGAGTTCTAATAATGTTAATTGTATTTCTATAGCTGTGAAAACACATGAGATTTCTTGCTGATCTTTTTCCCTCCTTGTGTTATGAGAGTACAACATGGGCCTGTAAGAGCTATTATTTATTTTTTTCTCTTTCCCCTCCTATTTCCCTCCTTTATCTTATAAAAATTTGTTCATATACTTTTCTTCAGATTAGGTAAACAATTTTTCACTATATTTTTTATAGTATTCTTTCTTAACTGTATCCCATCCTCGCGCTATTGGACTATTTTCCACCACCTGTACTTCTTCTATGCTGCTTTTATTTCGTATCCTGGGAAATATTTCCGCCTCCAAGGAGGTTCAATTGTTCTGTCACTCTTAACTTTGGTAATCCTTGCATTTTTTAAGTTATCATCACTTTTACTTCATTGATATCCTCGTCCATTTATATTTTGGAGAGCCTTTGGGACTAATATTAAATACACTTCTAGAGTTTTCTCGTTTTTTCTGTGAACAGCTTTATTAATCTCTTATTTAGTTGAGTCTATTCAACTAATTGCTACCCCTTATATCATTTTGTCTCTTTTTTATCTTTTCTATATAATTTCTATTTTTTTCTTTTTATTCAAAAGCTTCATATTAAGTATTTTCTGGTCTGTCTCCCCATT